TATATATATATATATATATATATACATATATATATATATATATAATATTATATTATATGTGTTCACATGTATTGCCAGCTTTATCATCATTATTATGGCTAATAAAATTATGGGGGTAAGGGGGTTGAAAGGTTATTATTTTATTATATACATTTTGTAGCCTAAAAGACTTTATAAATCATTATATATAGGCACTGATGATGGTGATGACAATAAAAGCAACAATAATTTGATTACTAATATTATTAGACATTTATGTCTGTGATATTTGTTTTCTTCTCCATTTGTTCTAAAATTTAAATTTACATAATCAGATGCACATAAAAAAGTGCTGTGGTTTTAGATACATTAATTTAAAATACCAAGGTAATACACTGTAAACCTGAGCAACCTCCAATTATTTTACCTGGTGATATAATACTGCCACATAGTGATTAGGTGACAGACAAGTTAGAATGAAAGCATCTGCCACATATGGGATTAAGAGGGATAGAGGCTGTAAAGTTTTTCATGTGGGTTTTCTAAACAAACATATGCTTCACTCTGTCAGGTTAAATATTCAGTGGGAAGATCAGCAACATTTTCTTACATTTGTGAACGTTGAGTAATGGATGAAAATATCAGCATATGTTCATGAATTCTCATGGGTAAAGTAGAAAAAACCTTGTGCTTTATAAGCTCAGAAGGTGGATTAAGTTCCCTGTAAAATATTGCCCTTGCAAATATATATGCAGCCCATTTTCACATAAACTTTTTAAAGTCTTTAATAAACATTTTCTCTGCTGTTTTGCTAAAAGAAAATGATAGAAATGATACTACATGCTGAAACATTTAAGAAGCTAGTATAAATGTTACTGTTTATTACATCCAAACAGCGAAATTAAAATTACTGGGCTATTTCCTTTCAAAAGAAAAAGTGATAACAGAAAGGAGAGGCGTACTCTACTAACAGATGGGGATATATTTAAAGCAGTCAATTTCAAAATCAATAAACATTCAGTTTATTTGGAGCATGTGTTATAAATCACTGTAATTGATTCACCTGCACTGAATGGTCAACGAATGTCACAGTTAGTGCTTTATAAATATGCCCTTATGTTTTTGTGAAGAATGATCTACATCACCTCAGACTGCAAGTCCTTCCCTTTGTGTTCACGTGGCTTGGTTTAACCACAGTTTGCCAACAGATCAAACAAATTGCAGGGAGTAGCACTATAATGCACATGCTGCCTGCTTAATGGAAGGTCATGCATAGTACATGTATGTAAAGGGGGTGAGAAAGATGTTGGTTATGTGTTTAGATGAAGCACGGAGATCTTGAGAAATGCTGAATTAAGTTTTACTTGCTTAGAAGGACATTATATCACAATACAGCATTCTTCAAGATCTCAGTGCTTCATCTAAACACATAACCAACAGGTTATAGGCCCAGGACCTAAACAGAATACTGCAAGTCATCAAAGGCCACATCCAAGCTACTGGAAGATGGCAAACAGTTCAGACATAACCAACAAAAGACTGATGAAGGTGGCATGTACCTTACCTGTCATGTTGCAGTAAACCACAAATGGTTCCAGAGAGCCACTTCCATCAGAATCAACATAAAAGAATCCAGAGGAGTTTCCTTTGTGCTTATATGCTTCACAAGATTGCTCATAAATAGCTGAAAAAGAAATATTAAGCTATTTGCAAATATTGTACAGGGAATTTCTCTAAAAATGTATGAAATGCTTGGGCCATTCACATGATTGCACTAATCAATAAAACAAAAATGTGCAAACATTTTAACAAGTGTGTAATTATTAGAGAAGACAGTTATATTAAGAACATGGCTTAGGACTACAGAAAAAGCAATAATGTTGGCAATAGGCAACTGATTACTGCTCATGCGGACATGATCTAACATCTTTTTTTTTAAATGTTCTTTTCATGTGGTCAAATTCATCCAGCCAGTCCACAGTTCACCACATGAACCAGAGTGAATGTGCTATAAGTAAAACTGAACCTGTTGGGAAATTTGGATGATATTATTATCTTTGTCTTTATTCTTCTTCTTATATTTCCACAATACTGTTTTATGCCTCATTTTTTTATAATAGTAAAGCTGGTCACAGACATAGGGAGTCTGTCTCTAAAGCTGGAAGTTTTAGATTTGGGTGGGTGGCCATCTCCTATTTATAGCACCTGCAGACAGCCTATGCTGACCAATACAACCAATTAGACAGGTTTAAAAGCTTTGTCCAGTCAATATTGTTCCCCTGCAGAAAAACTGCTGTCAGGAGCTTTCTTCATATACTTCTTATATACCTTCACCTCCTCTTTGCATTGACTTAAAGGGTAAGTGTACTTTAAAACAAACTGCACTTATCCTTTCTGTCTCCCACCCCGACTTAAATGATACCCCCAACCTCCACATAATTATACTTACCAAAATCTGACAGACACAGTTCCTCTATTGTTTGCACATTAAAGGCCCATGAACCTTTATGGGGCTGTCCACCAGCAATGACATAGAAGTGCCCAGGAGAGGGAGACTTTCAGTGATGGCGCAGCCCCCAGATCTTAGTAAGTATAGATCTGCAAAGGGTGAGGGGGGGGAATCATTTAGGCCAGGGGAGGGGAGCAGAAGGATAAGTGCACTTTAAAAATCTAAAAGTGCACTTATTCTTCTACTTATACCATCATAATTATTTTTTTTTTTGACAGACCTCAATATATACTTGCACACTGGTGTCTTACATGAGTTCATGTGAATAGCAAATGGCTTTGGAACTACTCTCAATCCAGGGGTACAACAGTGTATCAAACAAAGAAATTAAAGCCAAACTCCATGCAATGTTTTTTTTTTTTTTTTTTTTAAAAGAGCCCCGGCCAGTGTTTAACATCAAAGCTGCCCTGGCTGCAATGCTAACCACCTCTCCATTTCTGTCCTCTGCAGTACATCTTCTCTGCCACAATATGCCCTCAGTCTTCCAGGTTGAACGCAAAATACTTAATTAAATCATTTAAAAATTACTAGCAGGTATGTTTTTTTTTATAGTAGAATCGACTCTGTACATCTCTTCTGCTCTAAAAATCTTTTCCCTGTGTGCTAGCAATATTTCCTCATTGTACACTGACATCCACAGAGTTCAGTGTACAATCTTAGCAAACTATGGGTGGCAGGACAAAGGAATTTCTTTGTGCGTGCACAGTATTTTATGTCATCCCTGACCGGCCTTTACACACGGCTGAAAACTTTGAATCTGGAATAACAAGGCAGCTGCAGCAATGGAGCTCTGAGAGAGAGAGCACAGGTGTCGCATCGCTGGAGGAGAACTCTTTCAGAGCTAAGTCTGCAATAATGTGCAAATATGGTGTTCACAATTGCACATTATGGTGAGAGCCATGAGGACCCAATAACCTCATGCTGGCCATATATTGTAATATTTTCTTTGTTCAACCTATGGGCTGAATAAAGAACATATAACAGATTCCTCCATCAATGCTTAGAAGCATTGATTGAGGGATTTCCTGCTGCCTTCATTGGATTTTAAAGGCCGCTGTCAGAATCCCTGAACAGAGTTGGCAGATCTGAAGAGGAAAAAGACCCTGCCCATCATGTAACCAGCTTTAGGACTTCGAAAAAAAAGGTAAATAGGAAAAAAGCAAACAATACACCAAGAGGGGATTCCCATAGGGTGGGCGGCATTGAAGGTGAAGGACCAGGGAGGTGAACCTGGAGACTGACTTTAAATACACCGTTTCCAGGAATCCACTGGCAAGATGTTTCCACTAAGGTCTGTTTCATGCATAAAAAGACAAAATCAGCAGAATATTTTAACAAAAGTATTGGTACTTTTAATACAAAAAAGTTGTAAAGTTATTATTAAAGATGTGCATTCAGATTCAGACGAACTTGCTGAATCACGAAATTCTGTTGATTCGGCAGTTCATCCGAATCCCGAATAACAAGTTATTATATGGCCATTTTGTATGGGCACCGCCATCTTGCTGCGTCCAAGATGGCGACACCTATACATGTGTATGACGTCAACCGACACCTGCATCATGTGATGTCATGCTGCCCGTCTCCAAGATGGCAGTGTGCATGCATAGAACGCCGCAGCGGCCAATATGGCCGCTGCACATTCTGTTTTTTTACTGTGCTTTTGCATTCAGAGGTTAGTTGACTCCAAATCCGAAACAGCATAATAATTCTTTCATCAAATGAAACAAATGAAAAGGTTTTTCCCTTTTTATTTGTTTCGCCCGAAACTAATTATTATGCTGTGCACATGTCAGTTAATTATTACAACTTTCAAGTATATATATATAT